AAAAAAAAAATCTGCCAAGAAAGTTTCTCCTCCCAAGGTTTATAAAGGAACATGAACTGCCTCAGAATATATAAGAACTGTGTCTTACTGTCTGAAGATATTATGCACACTATTTGAGTGTTTTTCTACCAAAAGATCACCATCCAAATCATATTCAAAATTTCTGACTTCAATGAATCTTTGCTTCATCAATACTGTAGATTCAGTTGTCCTGTTTTCATTCTGAAAATGGTATAATTTTAGCAAAGTGAAAAGAGCAGTTTTAACTGCCAACATTATCTCTGTATCCTAAGAAGGCCATCCTGTAAGTTTCTGGTGAATGTACTGATGGAGAAATTAAATGCAGATTACTTTATATCTTAGTCATCATATATCTAGGTTTATAATTCCTTAATTTTCCACTGGAGTTTTGGTTTCAGTTTTAAGTGAGAGACTGCCTTTGTTCAGAGAAATCAGCATTGAGGAGCCCTGAGAATCACAGGCTCTGACATCCAGGGAAGATGTGAGAAAATTAAAGACTCTAACGTGTGGTAATAACTTGCAGCCAAGTGCACTCAGCACACTTAAACAGTAAGTGTAAGGTCAATTCCAAGAGTGAGGATAAGACTGAGATGATCATATATTAAATTAAAAAACATAAAATGGTGATATTATTTTTTCACTCATTAAAAAATGCATCAAGATGCCTTCAGAATAAAAATTAACAATCAGTAACTTCTGTATTTCAAACAAAGATCTATATTCAATTTGCTTTTCTCAGTATGATCTTGCCTTTGAGATTAAGCATGAGCAGTTACATTTCTTAGTGATGAATCCAAGACAGCAATCCAGTTCCTTCCCCTAAATACCATCTAAAAAACTGGCTAGACTGAAAAATGGGTAAAAGCCTCTATGGCCGCAGGGCTCTGCAACCCAGACCCAAGCATATTATTCCTGCTTTAGAGACTCCTCTTTAGCCATGTATGATCAATGCTCAGCCACCATGGAGTCATCGTGGTTTTCTTAGGAACGGCTTCTCCACAGGCACACTCCTTTACATTCATGCAGCCTCCTGGCTCTTGTGCATAGCACTGCATGTGGAAGTGTCACCATAGACAAAGACTTGAACTGGTGAAGATGAGCTCAGCCACAAATTAGCTCTATAGCAGCCTCCCTGGTACTGGGTTCCTTAGCTATAAAATGAGCAGGTTGAAGAAAGATGGGCAGTTCCCCAAATCAGCTACACTTCCGTATTACTTGAAAAGCTTCACAAAAATACAGATTCCTGGCCTTATCCTATATTATCATATAAATCACCTGACCATGGGGCACAGAAATGTCTATTTTCTAGGAGCTCCAGACATAAGCTTTGGATCTACATTTGGAAACCAGGAGACTAGATGAAGCTTAAAGTCTCTTTCATTTCAAAAAGAGTTCAAAAATACCAAAGAAATAAGCTATACTCTCCTAAATTCATACATCTTTATATATTTTATCACTGGCTTTTGCCAGATGCCATTCTATGTATAATACTGGTTGGTTTATGTGTAGTATTTTATCTAACTAATTCTACCACCCTATGGGACCATGTTATTTCATTTGACAGATCACAAAACCATGGCCAACTTAGCCAGATACATATGACTAAGATGGTATGGCCAGTATTTAACCCTAGAACAGCCTTAGAAAATACAGGAATGAATTTGAGCAGTAGGAAATGAGGTCACAGTTGTGTATGTGTAATGGCTTTGTTTTTGTTTTGTCAGGCTTTTTTTGTTGTTGTTTTATTTTGTTTTGTTTTGTTTGAGAATAGGAAATAATATGCTAAGGTTAATTAATCCAGTATATTTATCCCCAGTGGCACACCTATTATCTGCCCCTTCAATGAGTTCCCCAGAACCTGTACTTGCCAAGGTCATTAAAATTACAAACATTTTAAAATTATTATCAAGGAGACAGAGAAAGCACCACTACAGAAAGAAAAAACAACACTGGGAAATATCAGAAATTACAAAAGGAGATGAGCAACATTGAATATCAAAAGAAACTACCACAGAGATAACAAAAAGAGTAACGTTGAATATTTCATAGCGAATGGTAGCTATGGAATTGCCAACATCAATACTGAATTCCATCCATCCATTTGCCTCATCTTGCAAAACTTCCCCGAGGTTTTTAGGCTTTGCAACTTTGTTTCCCAGAGCTGTCCAGGAGTTATTTTTATTTGGATATTACTCTTATCATGTCAATATCATATTGGAAAGAGGAGATGTATACAAACAAACTCAGTTGGTCACTTTGAACAGAAAGCCAAAAAAAACTTTATGGTGTGTCTATAATTTAAATATAAAAATATTTAAATCTTCAGAGCCATCTTTTTAAATTGAATTGTTGGTATTTATTAAAATGTGATTTACCATTGGGGAAAAAGGAGACATATGTAAAACTTTAGATAAATAAATAAATAAATAAATAAATAAATCACACATTAACACATACATTTTCTTTGGTTCAAGGTTTTTGTGTGTTAGCGTTTTTTCTGATTTTATCTGAACCCATTTATATTTCTAGCAGTGATAAGTAAGAGGCCGCATTTAATAGTGATGCCCAGTGGTCAGCACTCACCCGCTTTGCATAAGGCTTTCTCTTGCCAAGGGGGAACGTACCACCTGCTGATGGACAAGCCAGACACTGTGAGGAGCAGGAACGTTCCCCACCAGCCCCGCAGTGAGTGGCGGACCCGGTGCAAAGCTCAGCAGCCCCATCAGTTGAATGATTCTGCGACGGAAGCTTCATGCTACCTCTCATCTATAATAATAAGAGCATAATACGCTAATTAGACTGGACGTCCTTCCAGATGACCTTCCGGACAAAGCCAGGGCTGCAAGGAAGCCTGGGTCCTGGGTGCCAGAGTGAAGCTGGTGCTGGCAGCCGGGGGAAGGAAGGCCTACTCTTGCATGAATTTCAGGCATCGGACCTCTAGTATAGTATAACTTTCTTGATGATCTACTCTTTTTAAAATGTGTATTTTATTGATTTCAGAGAGGAAGGGAGAAGGAGAGAGAGATAGAAACATCAATGATAAGAGAATCATAGATGGGCTGCCTCCTGCACACCCCCTACTGGGGATCAAGCCGGCAACCCGGGCCTGTGCCCTGACCAGGAATCGAACCGTGACCTCCTGGTTCCTAGGTGGACACTTGGAGCCACACCAGCCGGGCATGATGATGTACTCTTTAATGGATTTCCCCGTCCTATCTCAATTTTATCTAGTAATTCAAGTCTATATTATTATCAAAATGTCTCTGCTATTTCATAGGATAACTTCTGGCACCCACCTTTTGGTCTGAGGCTCTGTCCCTGGGGCAACCGCTACTGTGGGCTCTGATGTCCCAGGGCAGGGCATGCCCAGATCCACAGAACACAGCCTCCTGCACAGCGGCTGGCTTCTCCTCACCAGTAGCTGGTCCCTGCCTCTCAGACCGCAGATCACCTGCCGCCTGGGCATGGCTCGCAGGTGCAGGCGCTGGCGGAGAAGTCTGAGGTCCAAGGGCGCAGGGGCAGAGGGAAGGATGGGGGAGGCTGGGCACAGGCGTGCAGGCGATGCTCCGTCCACAGGTGGCTCCCTTGCGGGAAGCCTCGGCCCACGCACACCCACACGCAGAAACTTCCACCTGGTTCAGCGGGTGCCTCGGGTTACCTAGGAGCATCTGTCTACACAGTCACCCGGGAGCCACTGCAATGACACGCAGCATCCCTCCCTCACAGTGCCCGGCGACCGCTCCTCTGAGTAACGGGACTGTCATCCAGTGGCACTGGCATCGCACAGAAGCCTGGGCAGAGGGTTTCTCTGGGGGAGAGGACGCTGCGCGCCTGCGGGCCTGCAGCTCTGGGAGCCACCTGCTCCTCCATCAGCCCCCAGTGGTGGGGATGAGCGCTGCTGGAGGACAGCTCCCGGCAGACCAGCCCGGGGCCCATCCGATGGCCCCAGCTCCAGGGGCGGGGAGCTCCAGGGGCCTAAAGTGATGCTAGTCTGACAACCGGCTCTGTTTCCTCCTCCTTTGCTGGTGCCTGTTATGACGTCTCCCAATAAACTGCTTTCCCGGGAAACCTTACCTGCGGGTTACACGGGGGATGGTGGACGAAGACATCAAGTAAGACCGTGCGTCTCTGTTCAAGCTCAGTCAAAAGCAGACCATGTTCACTTTACCCTTCCTGACACTGTATTTAGTTATCAGTACCGCTCGTACAGGGAAGAGGTAGCTCAGAAAAGTAGAAACATCACATAGAGGTTTCTGAAAGGCTTTTAAATCAGAATAATAGAATGTCTAATTCAAACATAAACATGCTTTCCTCTTTGCCCATCTGTGATTAAACCAACAACGTGTGTGTACATTGACTTTCTGAGCTGCTAGGCTGTGAGTATATTCTTAGTTTGAGAAGAAAATATTTATGAGAAAAAGAGAGAGTGTAGAAGGCTGAGCCAGACTTTTCACGGTAAATGCCATACTGACATACTTACCTGGCCACTTCAACTGCCAATTCCTGTCACATCTATTGAGGTATTTTTCTATTTGAAATATTGAATTTGGAGTGACGATAGAGTGAGGAGTGCAAAGGGATGGGTAATTCGATTTGCCTGGCGAGAAGAAGTTGCTTAATTTTCCACTAATAATTAAGATATTTCTCTAGACACTTGCAAATAACTAATATTCCTTTTGATATTTCAGAATGTGATCTCAATCTGTCGTGTGGACTTACTATCTGGTGCACCTTTACTAAAAACATGTTTAAGTTGCTGAAGGTTTCATTGCAATATAAAGACATTTTTGTTTCTGTACACTTGAAATCCAGTCTACCTTCTCTGAAAATTGCCCTAGTTCCCAATCTACGGCCTTGGGTTAAATGCAAGGTATTGCTATCTATGGATGGGAGACTGCAGAAAAATTCAAGACATCTTTTCAATTCCACTCTCGTGATTGTGTCTGCTAAAGTAAAACTGAACCAGTGTGACTGCAGGTTAGGGTACTAAAATAGTGCACGTTCAAAATTCTTAAAGTACTTCCAGCGAAATGTAGCAATTTTCCTTAGTAAATTATGGGTTGTTTAATGGATTGTTTCAGAGTAGGAAATAAACCTTATGTGTTGGAGCAATGAAGTTTATGCATTTTTTAGTATTCTTTATGATGCCGTATTTAGAAGAAAAAAAGTACATATTAAAGTTAGACAAAAGATACCAAAAACCAGTAGTGTATATTTTTTAAAAGCAACTACACAGCCTTTGGCACACTATGCAATTATTTGCATGGCTACATATTTTATTAGAATAACATCTGCTTCATGGAAACAATAACCCACATTTGAAGTAATCCAATAGGACAGTGTGTCTGAGATTCTGCAGGACACCTGGGAGGTGGTTTTGTGTCCATTTCCTGGAGCTCTGGAAGCACCTGTGGGCGGGAACTCCTGGACCCTTGTCAGATGGACAGGTGGGCTGTGTCTAGAAGCAACTGAGATGCAAAGTGAGAGCTGCTCATGACAGGGCGGTTAGCAGGTCCACATCGAGAAATGAGGTAATTTAGCAGGAAATAGCTTTGCAGGGCAGTTTTGAATTTTAATTAAAAGATAATTCTATCAGCTTATATATTTTTTTCTAGGCGACTGAAATGGGTTTCCACCTGGGCTTTCTTTCAATAGAAAGGTTTTCAATAAATAAGCAACAGATTAACATATTAGTTCTGATTCGTAAACAGACTGCCACCCAGGAGCAGGGGAGTGAGAGGCATCCCAGGGTGTTACACGCTCCCTTAAAAAGAAACGGGTGCTTGTTTCAGAGACTGAAACATCTTGGATACCTTATAAAGTAGCTGATTTTTAGAAAACAATGTGAGTGCTTTAGGCAGTATACAATCCTTGATAAATGCAAGCACAGTCACTTTTTTCAAGTAGATTTATATTTTGTCAGCTTCTATCATTGTCATCACCTTCTTCCATCCATCAGAACACCATGTTACTGTTTGAAAATAGAGGTTCAGAGACAGTTAGAAGAAATCTAGAGAGTCCTAAACCATAGGCCTGTGCCCATGGCCTATGCATATATTCATATAAACTGTTTGGCTGATCTTTCCTCTGCCTCTCCTTCACTCTGAGGATCCCTAGTCTGTTCCATGCTTCCATGTCTCTGGATCTATTTTGTTCATCAGTTTACATTGTTCATTAAATTCCACATATGAGTGCGATCATGAGATATTTGTATTTCTCTGACTGGATTATTTCACTTGGCATGATGATCTCCAGGTCCCTCTATGTGAGGTGAAGGCCTGGGGAGGGGACAGGCGAGGGGAAGGGAGCATCAATGGGGGGAAAAAGGGAGATATCTATAATACTTTCAGCAATAAAGATAAATTTACAAAGAGTGCTAAATTATAAGATTCTTATTTTTCTTATGATTTTGTCAGCTTCTATCATTGTCATCACCTTCTTCCATCCATCAGAACACCATGTTACTGTTTGAAAATAGAGGTTCAGAGACAGTTAGAAGAAATCTAGAGAGTCCTAAACCATAGGCCTGTGCCCATGGCCTATGCATATATTCATATAAACTGTTTGGCTGATCTTTCCTCTGCCTCTCCTTCACTCTGAGGATCCCTAGTCTGTTCCATGCTTCCATGTCTCTGGATCTATTTTGTTCATCAGTTTACATTGTTCATTAGATTCCACATATGAGTGCGATCATTAGATATTTGTATTTCTCTGACTGGATTATTTCACTCAGCATGATGCTCTCCAGGTCCCTCCATATGAGGTGAAGGCCTGGGGAGGGGACAGGCGAAGGGAAGGGAGCATCAATGGGGGGAAAAAGGGAGATATCTATAATACTTTCAGCAATAAAGATAAATTTACAAAGAGTGCTAAATTATAAGATTCTTATTTTTCTTATGACTAAGTTTGCCGATTAAATTCCTGGAAAGAAGCAGAAGCCAATGCCAAACGACGGTAATAAATGTGATTAAAGATGATTGATGAGCAGGTGCGATTACAAGTCCCCCAGGACACAGTAAGTGTGCATGGGGAGTACCCGGACTGATGCCGGCAGGAAGTATGATCAGCACGTGTTCTCTCTTACTCTGTGCTCCTCCAGGGATGGCTGGAACCATCATGAGAAGATAAGACGATGCCAGGATGTAGATGATACCACCATCGCATAAAAAGCATTTTGAGCAGAAGACATTTGAAAATCAACATGCAGAAAGAGGCTTTTCTAAACATGATCTGCCTAAAATCAGAGCCTTAAGACACACACACACACACACACACACACACACACACACAACACACACACACCACACACACACACACACACACACACACACACGGCCATAAATCCCCTTCAAGGCAATGAACTCCTCCCTGGGGAGGAGGTGTGGGCCCTGGAGGAGAGCTCTCATAAGGAACAGGTCGGCACTGTCCTCCACACCAGCCCCGGACGCCCCATCCCCTGTCCTGAAGGCCCTGCTGCTCCCTGAGTGACCCCCTCCCTGCCCTGCCCCTCGAAGGTGGGC